GCTTTCTGCTCCATTAATGGCACAGATGGCCATGACCGCTTGCTGAAACTGAAGCAAGAGACATACAAAGATAGTCTCAAAAGAGGTCTGAAAGCTTCAGTGATCAGTTACTAAATCTTTCTACTGATCTAGTTTTAGATTAGCAACATTACAACAGTAACTGCTAACATTTGGACTATATGACTATAGAGAAACCTTTAAGCTACGCTTTTTAAATGTCTTGACTATTGGATGGATAGCCAGAAATTTGGTTCAGACATTGATGCCCCCCTCAGGATGTAACGACTTTGGTGATCCCTTAAATGTTTCGGTGAGACCCCATCGACAGGACCTTCCAGGAATGGCCACTGATGAAAGTATTGCAAAATGTATACATTCACAGTATTACCAGGTGGGTGAAACTGTGGTGAAATTCTCAAGACAAATGGTCTATTAAATTACTCCTGATGCAAATTTCCTACTGCTGCAGCTTCACATTAAAATAATTGAATTGGCAAAATATGAGTTGACTTTTATTGTGTAGTGACCAAAAAATACAATACATTTGTCACTATTGCTCACTGACCGCTGTTTTTCATCAAAAATGTGTCATTTTGGGCATTTGTTGACAGCACATCAGTTTAAAATATTGCTTAAAAACCGGTAGGTTGATTAATATTTCCTACCAATCAGGACTGCACTCTGCAGTTACATTCACACATATACAGAAGCCATCACTCCTCAGTGAGTTGCCTTCTTGGTGGAGTTCTGAGAGAAGTAGTTATCTTTATAGATCTTTATGTTTTTTATGAATCTGTCACACTGATACAGACTAATAAAAATAACATTAATTTGTGAAAGTGCAAATATGAAAGAATAATAGGCTGATTAGGCCTAAATTAGTCCAGTCCCCACAGTGTCTGCTCTGAAAAATCCTGGCCCTTGGATAAATGTAGTTAATGCCTCCTGCACTGGAGGATACTGGTGTCAGTGTCACATTTTGCCTCACAGATGTTTGTGTATGAAGGTGCAGTGGTGCCTAAACCTAACCAAACCTACCAAACTTAAGCAAGCTTTATTTTGAAAGTGTAACTGTACCTTGCATATATTAATGGAATGAGAGTGTGTTGAAAACGTGACACTGCCATGGTGAACTGGAGTGTGTATTACACGCTTTGGCCTCATACTATTGAACAATAATGACATTACCATCTACCTGTACTTTGTGTTTGGCGCTAATTAGCAAATGTTAGCATGCTAACAGCCTAAACTAAGATAGTGAATGTAGCAAACATTATACCCACTAACACAGCATGCTGGTGTTAGCTTTTAGCTCAATGCACTGCTGGCTAAGTACTGCCTAAACACAGAGCCTCACATGACTGCGTAGACCGTTGTTATGCTCTGGGCAAACAAAATGTTCACCTCACACCCTTCAAGTATCCAGCACGCATGTACGCATTTGCTTTTCTATTTGAGCACAGGCTTTGAAAATTTCAACACCCAGGTCTTTAGAGACCTTGACCTAAATATATCTGTCCAGAATAAACAGAACCTGGACTATATGTGTAAAACCTACAAAAACAAGCCTGGACAAGGTACACACCACATTCATGCATATACTGTATGTGTTAAAAACAAACTCACAGCTAAACATAGTACAAGGCTATTTCTCCCTATTGTGAGTTGAAACAGGCCTGTGTTCAAAAAGCTCCGGGGTTTGGAAGAGGCTTTTGTGTGTCCTGTTTGTATCATAAGGAAAACCTCTGACCCGAGAGAAATGTGAACCCTGTCCACAAATCAAATGGTAGGAAGTGGTGAGTGTGTCTTTACCCTAGACTTATCTTTCTCATTGCTCCAGTGTATTCTAATCAAGTTTGAAGAATTGAAGAAGTTTTGTGTTGCCACACAATTTCACAAAAAACGTATTAATGCAGCCATTCTTCTGAAAGGTTTGACTAAGCAAATATCAGTCATCTTAGCACACCTTTTCTATGTTGGTTTTCCTACACCAGTGATGTCGTCATGAATGTCTATGGCTAATGTGAGTAACAGGTTTCCTGCTTCCTATGTTGGAGCAGACATCCTGGAACCTGAAAAATCCCAGGCTTCGACCCCCAGCTGAGACAGAGCTGAATTAGTCGACAGCCATTTTCCTCCCACTGTTTCCACTGACGTCACCTCACATACAGACAGACGTGGGGGAGTGAAGTTAACTATGACAGCATCCTAGAGCTATAAAGTGCTACTGCACACTCATGACAGCTACCATTTGTAGCCCTGCACTGCATTATGCATCAGGGGTCACTGCAACTATGACTGTCCAATTTCAATTCTGCTAACCCGGGAGGCAATCCAATGCTGTTTAAGAAATAAGATATAATTGATAATACTCATAACAGTCCTGACTGTTGTGTCTATCCATTCAGCAGCCTGGAAGGCAGGAGTATTCTGCTGTTAGTGCTGTCAGTAATCTATGTTCATTGTTTATTCACATGAGGACAAAACCCTGATTTCTCTTTCCAGCAGGCTCCAGATCTAAAGAGCAAATATGACATTATCCAATGTACATTAAGTTCCTCCAAAAGCATAAACAGATGAAGAAAGTGCAATGGTGCTTTTTAACATAAAATGGCTTAACTGTATTGAGAAGATTGTTTCTTGACTGTCATTTAATTCCCTCATCAGTTCTGGGAATTGTACAAGAAAGGCTGTGTTTAACAGGTTCTATTATTCTGGAATTTTTTTATTTTGTGTGTCTTACTAACCATTGAAAAGAACAATTCAGAATTAGCATAGTGTTGTTGTAGCACTGCCAAACTTCTTAAAGGATATACACTGAACAAAATTATA